CCCCTTCTAACCTTTTGGAACCAACGTCCCGTCGTCGCTGTGGCCCGCGCTATGGAGTTGGTGACCCTTCCCTTCTAAGGCTCCTTGTGGTATCTTATCAGCTGTTATCACGTCCTGTCACCCACCAATAATGTTCCCATCCTGCCTTCTATATCTTTTCTTGGAACCAAAGTCCTATCGTCGCTGTGATGCACGTTATGGATTTTGTGACCACTCCCCTTCTAACTCCTTATATTATGTTAACAGCTGTTATCACGTCCGGCCACCCACCAATAATGTCGCCCCGTCGTTGCTGTGGCCGGCTATAAATTTGGCGACCCACTTTATAGGTCTTTCCTTGTAGTCTGGACTAAGGCGCTGTGGTCCTCATAAGTGATCTGAGTTCTGACGCCTCTTCAGTTGCCCCGCCCAGCAGAACTTAAAGGTTATTTTCTATTGCGAGTACATCGTGTTTTACGTTCTTCTTTCACTGTTAGGCAGCGTTCAGACTTCGCGACGGCAGCGCTTCGGTCGCGCGATTCGACGATCGATGCGCATGCTTTCGACTGCATCGATCGCGTCGAACGCGCGACCGAAGCGCTGCCGTCGCGAAGTCTGAACGCTGCCTTAGATGGCATGGCATTGGATGACGCGAAGAAACGAGTAGTAAGCCGGAAGGCGCCAGGATATCGCTTTGCTGGCAAGAAATATCTCTCTTGTAGAGTCATTTAGCGATAGTAGTTGTCTAAAAGAACGCCACCATCCACACAGCATTTCCGAGGTTTCTCTTTACTTAAACTTTGGTGGAGCTCGTTCAGCAGTTACTCGTGCCCGGCGTTGCAAGCGGCTCGGTGTGGCGCGGCGCCAACACGTATTCCGCCAATCGCAGTCGCTTGCTGCTTCCGCAGCTGGTGAACAAAGAGATGGCCTTGCCCCACCCCCTGACGTGCCCCTGCGTACGCAGTGAACAGGACTGTATATTAGGCGTAGAGAACAATGTTGAAGCTTACATTAGGACGAGAAAATCTGACCCGTTGGCAATTTACGAGATTTCCGTTCGTGATGTGTAGCATTTTGTTCAGTGCCATTGATCTAGAAAGGCTGTGTTGCAGATGTCGTCAAGACGTGAGCAGGTGTGCTGCTGCCACCGATGTGGAAGGTATCTGCTTCGAAAAAACATGTATGGCCATCTCAGGTCTGTGCATCACTGTACCGAAGAAGAAGTTCAATCTGTGATGAAAAAGGTCAAAATACTAGCCAACTCGAAAAGAGTCGATGTTCGAAGAACCAATTCTTTGGTGCCAGCTCTCTTTGCAAGGTCCCATTCAGCGGAATCGCATGAAGAGCTCGCTATCCATTGTGGAGCTATCTCATAGGCAGGATGGGCTGCAAAACCGGGCAAAAGAACAGGCTTACACCTTACAACGAAGATTTCGAAAAGAAGAGTTCGAGTATTTAGTTCAAGTTAACATCTACTTCTTTTTTCCTCTCTTCTAGTTCAAAGGCACGGTCCGCGATCAGGTATAGAAGTTGAAAATACAGCGTCGGGAAGGCAGTGTGGTCCGCGTCGAATAACCTTGTATGGGTTTCGTGCAAATAAATTGTAAGGGGAGGACGTTCTAAGCGTACTGTAGGTTCAAAGATCTCCTTTTTTCAGTGACGCCCGCCACCGAAGACTCCGCCTTCGAGGCCCGCCTTTCAGTGAAAACCGAAGCTGCAGGACGTAAAACCATGGAAATCGCCATTGGTACGGTCGTAGAGTACTCATGGGGAATCAGCTGTGCGCTGATGAGGGCTTTAGTATTGAGACGGAGTTATCGGCACATGGCAGATCGGGATTGAAAAGGGGGGGGGGGGGGGGGAAACGGTGCCTAATCATAGGGCAGTTAGCTTATTTTTTCGGCTTTTTACCTCTTATGTCGAGTTACTCAGAACTTAACATCCACATGCAAAGCCCTAGTCACTATCTCTTTGGCAAATTGATCGCGGGCTTTTTGCCTTTAATCTAAAGGCAACATCTACGCTCACCTCAGTGGGTCCTGATGTTTGCCATGTACGAGGTGAATGGGTCCGTAGCTGTGGCAGCGCGCCAACAGCGTTGGAGGATAGCGATACCCAAGTTCCGCCTCCTGACCCCGCCTAGGTGCCGCACCGCCAACCGCACAACTACCCAACCATAGTCAAACGCGCTACCAGTCTGCGCCTATCACTTTTGACTGTTCTCTACCGGCTGAGTGCGTTTTGCTTGTAACTTGTTTAAGACCGTACCTTGAGAATGGCGGCAGGCGAGTATGGGGAACGGTACTGAGTACCACTATCCAACAGCGCCGTTCCTGTGCACTTTTGAGTGAAAGAGGGGCACATTACTGCAGCTGCTGGCCCATTCATCTCGCATAGGGCATGTAGCTGTCCGCGGAGGTGGAAGTACCGTTAGCTCCCAATATTCAACGAATTTTAGAGATGATTAGTGTGGTTTTGCAGGCGTGGTTTGATGAAGAAGTCCCGGAAAGAACCGTAATCGTCTTCTGTACACGAGTCAAACGCAGGCAATATCGTCTATTATAGGTAGGCGTTTATCTCATCCGACACGACTAGAAGTATGATAATGGGCCTAATGTAGTTAAGCAGGGCCACTCGGCAGCGTCCCTGCGTCGCTTTCCCTTAACCAATGCTAAAGGCAGTCCTTTTCCTTGCACGAGTAGCCCGTCCCTCAGCCCCTAAGACCCTTTCGGGCTTCACTAGAAGTAACGAAGCCGCGGCCCTCGTAAGTGGCAGTTCTGACGCCTCCCTGGTTGCCCGTCCACCAAAAGTGGAAGGCTATTTTCTGTCACGGGTTCAGTTTTTACACCGTGTTTTGCGTTTTTTTTTCACTTTTGGGTGGGGTACAGGGCAAGAGAATCGTAATTTGGCGCGCTGGCCGGCATAGCGAGTGGCGCCGTGCCGCGAGAGACGAGTTTTCCCGCCTAGCCATTCGAATTCGAATATGAAAGGGAAGGGAGAGGGTGTTACTGAAGCGCGATAGCCGTAAGCGATTCTGACTGAGACCGATGTTTCATAACTTCTAGGACAACCTGCTGTTAGTTTGGCGACAGACACGGTATTTCTTTTCCATTTATTCGGGTAAGAATGAAAAATAATAAGAAAAATTTGCACAGATTCCCACGAATTTCACTGCTCAAGTGAGAAACTGACAGTTTGGACTTCCCGCGTCCATCGCCGCGTGATGTCCACATAGAAAATTTCCCGCGTCATCGCTAGAAGGTGGGCCGCGCGCGACGGCGCGGCAAATTAGGATCCTCTTGCCTATCTCTCGTTGGATGGCGCGAAGAAACGGAACGTCGGTTGGGGGAAGGATGCACAAGCACCAGTCCTGCTCAACTTCTTGGCATTAATAAGGTTTTTTACAGATGTAATCGTTCTGGGAAATTCACTAGTAAAGGAGCCGATGGTCGAAGATGTTCTACCAGGAAGGGACATTCTCACTGCTCCTGTTATGTGAATGCTCGTTTTGAAGTGGACGGGAGCGTGGCAGTCACAGCATGTTTTGGCCATGTGGGTCACAAAATTGAACCGGCACTTTTACGTCTATCGGCCAGGCGGAAGGAATTTCTCAAGAACTTGTTGGCAGGTAAAGCAGTAAAGATCTAGTTGGATATTCATGGTTATAATAGGACTCTTAAGAGCATTCGTTAAACTACGTCATTCGGCGGTGCAAAAGAGACTTCCCGGCAGATTCAAGGATGCATTTCGTGACGAAGCACGACCTATATAACATAATTCAGAAGGCACGATATTAGGCCTGTTTATAGCAGCGACGACGGCGAAGAATTCGATTCATTCCTGGAAGATGAACTGGGCGGACCTGATGCATTTCGCGCGTCACAGAACCGTCTGGAAGAGAGGGAAGCGATTGGGCAGAAGATAGAACAGGTAAATGTTTTCAGTATAGTAGTTCATACTTCGCGACAACATCAGCGATCGCGGGTATGCGCCGAGTGTGCCCCAGCGCTATTTTTGGACCCTTCCCACTGCTATACAAAAAGTTCCTATTAGCTAGTAGCTTTTTTTCTTATTAGTTGCTGCGTTGGGATGCATCCCGCTGCCAAGCCAATCGCCACAGGAATCGCGAAGTATCAACCTAAGGCAGCACTCAGACTTCGCGAATCAAGCGATTCCGTCTTGTGATTTGCGAGCCGTGCTCCACTACCAGTTATTGCACCGCTACAGCTGCTTATTAAAGGCAGAATTCGCGATGAGCCAGCGAAAAATTCGCTGGTGGAGTGGAGTTGGGGGAAGGGTTATAAGAAGAATGTAAGTGCTTGTTGACTTGTCCCTGAAGAAAAAAAAGAAGAGGAAACTGTTGAGGACGCTCTGAATAACGCCCCTCTTGTGCCTGAAGAGACATGAAGACTAGATGTGGATATCGGGAGAAAGCCGAGCGAAAGCAGCGATCAAACGAGCACGGAGTCACTTGAGCAACCTCTTGCTTTACAGCCGCTACCTTACCGCTTTCTGGCGTGAAACTTATACAGGCTGTTCACTGCGGTCCACAATACCACTGTATGCGAGGGCCAGGCGGGCAAGAGAACCATAATTTGCCCTTTCGTCGCGCGCGGCACTGGGCCCGGCCGTTTCCTTAATTTGTACTAACCTTTCGATAGGAGCATCGGATTTTATGTAGGTAAGGACGCTATTCTCGACCAGTGCCACCTGAAATCGTGGTCGTTAGCGGGGGCGACGTCGCACGCGATACCCATTGGCGCGGCGAATCACGATTCTCTTGTCACAGATCCCTGTACGGAGAGCTCAGTTAGTGATCTTGAGCTCTGCTCCTTTAGCTTCACTCAAGATCTTTGAAGTCAATATTCTGAATGTTGAGTGGTCCAACGATTAGGGATGGAGCGCGGTTGGCCGGGTTGACCCTGTTGCTTGAATCGTTAAATATTCCAACCCGACACAGTTGAATAACTAGGAATCATTATTCAGGCGCTATCAGAAGTTACTGCAGTTGTGAACGTACTCATCAATATCGACACCGACGAGGCTCTGGAAAAACTGCGCGAAATTCACGAGCTTCTTGACAGAGCATCGAAAATAACCCTGGTTCCTAGCTCACAGGAACCCGAGAATACGGTGCAATCCGAACACGCTGGTTCTGAAGTGGAGCCAATCTCAAACGGAGCTTTACCCTCGGTAACATTGCAATCCGAACACGCTGGTCCTGGAGTGGAGCCAATCTCAAACGGAGCTTTACCCTCGGTAACATATCTTTTTCAAATTAGAACTATTGAGATTTAAAGGGACAAAGATTTCAGATATTGGAGCTAAGCAGAAAAGATGACGTTGACAACCGTGAAGACAAGCAGAGCAGAAACTGCGAGATTGTGAGCGGTTCCGGGAACTTGGTTGAACCTCGCTCAAGCAATATTTGAATTGTTTGCTTTAGACTGATGCGGCTTTTTTCCCACCGCGCCGCCAAAGGTCTCTCCGAAACACATCAGCAGTCATTGGTGAAGCTGATGGTCTGGATACAGCGTCCCTTTCAACAAGCATTCGGTAATAGATGACGCTCGGAGCATATCAAAAAGGCAAGTAAATTTCAAACATTACACGCTGCTTCTCGTTTTCCCGGTGTACCATTTGTTCCTCCGCCTTTCAGATATTGTCATTACTGGAAAGAGTGCATGGACAGCGAGAACTTGTACACATTCTAGAGAGAAGATCTACTATTTTATTTGTCAGAAGGATCTCAGTTGAACTCATTTACATCCTGTGTATTTTGCGAGGTCTTGACCACAAAAACGTCATTGGCGTGCTTGCCCTCCTCTCCGCCGTTACGGAGTTGCGCCAATGACTTCGCTCCTGCCTCCCTTGGCCCAGCAAGTCCAACGATGCTTTTAAGTAAGATTTAGGACATTCATCATCAGTAGATGTAACTAGTGCCCACTACCAGTCAAGGCACCGGCCGCGTATTAAAGATGATATTCCATATCGCCGACCTTGAGGTCAAGCATAGCCCTAACCTCAAAGCGCAATGGACACAGCAATTTTCGGCAGCTAAAAACGTGATATCGGCGCCACCTGACCGCGACGAAGGCAATGTCCCGCCCACTGTTTCACACCACACCCAGTGTTCATTGCCAAGGACACTAGCGCAGTTCGGAAAGTTTTTTTTCTTTCTCCTTCCTTGGGTACCTTGTCATTAGTCGACATCAGCTGTTACTCCCCCCCCAAATGATTTGAATGGCATTGGAACAGCTTACGTATGGACCATAAATTAAGCGCATAGTGCCTGGAGATCTTCATTCGCCCTAAATCGTCGCGATATCACGACTGCTGTTTAGAAATTTCCCATGAATACACTCCGTGGTTCAAATGTGAAGACGTTATAGAACCCGAAAAGAAACCATTTTTTATTGCAAAATTTCTAAAGACCCTAAAAATCCGTTTTCCGCAAAGATTTTATTTTTATTCCGTCCTTCGGGTATTTCGGTGCTTTGCACCTTCCTCACTTTTACTATGTCATTTTGCACTTTTGTATGGATCTTCTTCTTGCATTCTCTGCTTCTAGCTTTGAAATGAAGTGCAACGAAAACATGCACTTAAGCATGTACTTTTTCGTTGTTAACTTTGTTATTGTTATTATTTGTATAGGTTTTTCATGGATAAAAACTTGTTAGATTCATATTGAAACTAGCCAGCAAATAGCAACAATTCGACAGACATATAAACCTTATCTAATCTCCCAAAATCGGCAAAGATAAGAACATGCAAGTATGCGAGCTGGATCAAGAAGAGCCAACCGATGGATGAGACAAGACAGCCCCGGCTCAGGTGCATGGTCCGTTCCTCTTTGACAGGTATTCAGCCCCAAGCACTAGATACTTGTCATCTCCCGCAACTCCATTGAAGGCGAGAATAGAGCTAGCAGAAAGTTGTTCATTTTCTAACGCCGCCCAGTTAACCGCCCATTGGAGCCTCCCCAAGAGCAGCCGCTTCATTGTTCTTGTGGCACGGCGGACATTAAATCAGAGCTGCCATGCACTTTTTGCTAACGCCGCTCACTGTGCCATAAATAATTCTGCTGTTGGTCGGAGTGGATGACCAACCCTTTCTAGGCTTTGTTTCGTCATTCTCAGTCATTTCTGTTTTTTCTCCTGATTGCGCAGACCCATAACGTCATCACAAATGATATTTCCCTTTCTCCGCATCATTTCGTCATTTTCTTCAAAATAAAGACGTCATATGAATCCTCACAGATAGGCCGCATGGAAGGGGGTGACGAGGAATCTGTTTTCAACGTTTGACGATATTTATTACTATGAGAAAAAACAAAAATAAACAGTTCTAACAACAAGAAGAGATCTCATCCTTTGTCTCCTTTGTCCTGATCATCTTTGGATACTGCTGCAAGTAAAAAGAGGTTTGAATTAGCAAGACAGCCATAAAAGTCTTCTACCTACCTTTGAAACACTGCGTTCGCATGGCGCACTCCATAAACGCTACTAATTGGTCCGCACACGCACCTGCCTCCATTTCTTCATCTGTGGACGACTTTCTGCAGGTAACAGCCTCCCTATAACACAGTAGCGTATAGCATGCAAAGCAATCAACTGGGCGAGAAGAATGTAGAGGAGGTAAACTGGAACAAGAGTTGGGGGAAGAAAGGCCAGCTCTGGTACGCACCCGCAAATCCATCTATAGGTACATCTTCCCGACTTAACGTACCTCTATCCTCTACCCCAATCAGCTTCTCTGTCTAACCGGGAAAAGGACTTCGGTAGACCAGGTATTATTTTCCTTCAATTCTAACCCCTCTCAACAATCCAAATGCGACCACCATTTCCCTAGGCTAAAATACGACCCTGTTCTTGAGAAAATCCTCAACAACGCCGTGCCCTGGACGCAGTGATCAAGCCTTGCTGTTTTCGTGGAAATTCGAACAGGTACTGCTTGTATTGGGTGTCCCTGTGCGGCAACTCTCGAGTAAGCTGAGTAGGTAAACCTGACGCTTCTCCCGCTTTTCTTAGAAATGGGCCCCATGGTCCGTTTAGGAGGCTGAAAGCCTTTAACTGCCAAGTAAATCCGGAACTCACAGTTCCACCACAAAACCACTTTTCGAAAACCGAGGATGTCGTGATCACTGAAGTCGGTCGAAGCGTGTCCGCGCCGAGTGGCTTTGGCCAGCCCCTTTCCCACCATCCATTGAACTCCTAAGGCCAGCAAACGAATGAACGGGCTGGCGCTGAGCCAAAACCACCCCTCGACTGACTTCAGTGATAACGACTGTAATTGTTGAGAAACTCGGCTACACTCACCTAAAACTCATATCCACAAGGGCTAGCAACAAGATGTCCAACACAAGTGAACTCAAAAATTGATAGATCCGTCTGGTTTAGTTGGTCCTCAAAAAGAACAACGTAAATGCAACCAATAAATCCCAGTAAAACTGCTTCCATACCTGGGTTGTTTCGAAGGGATTACACTCATTGCGGATCCATTACTTCAGCTATTCGCCTGAACGTCATCGTCCTGTGATTCATCCAAAATTCTTTCAGTGATGTAACCACCCTTGAACTGATCGACTCAAACGGTTGTGCTGCTAAACTGCCCTGATGCTGAATGCAGCTAATATGTCAATCTCTCAGTTCACGTTTCTTGTCTGATCGAGCAAAAAATGTCTCCAGAAAGTATGATCTCTCAGACAAAACTTGAATTTATCTCTGATAATCGGGCTCTCACATTAGCGATTTTCACTGCAGATAGTGTCCACACGCTCTCGTGGGAATGTCTGTGAAGAATGAATCATGAAAAACGCCGTTGTGTTTTTCGAAGGCGCTACTGTGCGAAACCATGAACAGAAAGGATTACTGGATAGCCCATGATGGGCGGGGATCTTGTTTGCACGGTGATATGGTGCCCTCACCTATTCGGGCAATTCTAATACAGTCTTAATGGATTTAACGGCCCTTGCAAGCATCTGCCGCCTATCCTACTTCCTAATTCTAGTTCCGCCTACAAAACCCATGAATTGCGTGCGCTCCCCTCCCAATGTTGTCGCAGGTGCAGGTGCCCACACCTGCCTATTCGAAAATTTGCGGTCTGGAACTACTCATGCTGATTCAGCACTCTTTGACCAAACATTCGAGTGCGAAAAAAAAAGACAGAAGCCCGATTCCTGTGGATAGGTGTCTTTAGGTTGTCATTTGACAACTTTTTGTATAGTTACTGGCTGGACTCCCTTTATCAGTTCCTCAAATCATGCGACATACTGAAAGCTCCCAAGGATTTTTGAGGGAAGGTCACGATTTAATTAAGAAGTTTCCATGGTTTCAGTAATAAGTATAACTTATAAAACACGGAGAAAAGCGAACTCACCTCATCTTTGCCATCTTTCTTGGACATCTCCATCTGTATAAATCAAAATAACAAGAAGGACATAAACCGAAGAAAATCAAAATTGAAAAGATCACAAGCTTGCGCAGCAACCTAGTCTGTGATTGCAGGACTGTTCCTCGAAATGACTGCGATCGGTATTAAATTGCTTCGGCATTTCTTTGCACGATATTTTCAACCAGAGGTTCTGCTATTCGTCAATATTGAGCCTACATCCTCTTGCTATCCGATATCGAATCGAAAGAATGAATTCAGTCCGATCGCTCCGCTCATTAACTTCTATATATAGGTGAGTCTAATGGTTTGATTTATTTGATTTTATATTCTTGTGAATAATCTAAAGAGTCAGAAATAAGAAGAGATTTTAGGATGTGTTCTTCCAAATAGCGAGCTGTCGGTACACATCTACTGCAAGGAACACTCTTATCAATTTTGTCCCTCAACAAGAAGCATGGGTGGTTGAGCGTATGGGGAAATTTTATAAATTCTTAAGATCCGTAAGTTTAATACATTCCTTTAAGCTCATTTACTGGTATTCCTTCTTTCTTGTCCGGTCGCTGCGGGTGATTGGGCGGAACTATGCTGGACTGCGTCTTGACTGCCTGCCGCCAATTCCGTCTCCCACCAACTGTTGAAGCGAGCAAGCAATAAGACTGTATCATAGCATTTGTATCAGTGGTTTTCCACCAGTTGTTGTCTCCACACACCGCCTTCAAAAACTACAGTGAATTAAGTTTGACTCCGAGAAGAACGCAGTTCCCTGACACGCCCCATCATCCTCAGCGAACCATGCTGTATGCGCTTTTTCGTGTTGATTTTCTGATTCATCCCAGATGATGAAATGCTCGTGACTTTCTGAATGTCCACAGGCGGCAGTTATAATCACGATGGGTGGTGACAAGACAATAGTAATATGCCGCGCTGGTTGGGCGTGACGAGCGAACTTCGCACGTTTAAGACGCAGTTATACCTACACACGATTCAAATTTGAAGTAAAATCGAACGAAATCTGGTCCATTTCGCGATGCGCTGAGGCTGTTGCGTTCTCCTAAATTCGCATAGGTTTCGCCGCTTCAATCGCGAACCCTATGTGCACATCACGGTTTTGCGGCGCGTCTCCGCACAGTGCGCCGCACGCCACGCTGCGACAGACTGCACCGATTGTCTTGGTCTATCGCCACCGCGTGGAGGTGAATAGTTCCCCTCAATCTGTGTATGAGGATTAGCTTGCCTGCCTCATTTTACACTAATTGAGAAAAACGGGTTTGAGAAGGAATATCTAGTGCTTTTCCATTGTAAACTGTTCTTTTAGCCTTAAATAACTTATATAAGAAACTTAGGAACGTAGAATACTTTGGACGATCAACTTTGTTTAGAAGTGCTCTCCGAACGCTTTCAAAATTACTTGCGGGGCGGGGCGGATGAGGGCGGATGTACAGTGCAGCATTTTGTTGTTACATACGTAGTACGTTTATCCGTCTGGATTAAAGGTTAACTATCCCGAACGCAGTCATGCGATCCATTTTGTGAGCTATGCGATACGACAGGGCAAACCATTCGTGGCCGAATATGAATGTTATTTGCCAAATGGGTTCTCAGGAGAGCTGCTGTTACAAATTATCGCGTGTCTCATTCTTCCCGGACAAGTATTCTAATCTGTCTTTTGGGCAATGCTAGTTTTATCTGTGAGCAAGGAGAACATCCTACGAGGGCTTGGATTAACTGGCACAAAGTCAGCAGGGACGAAAATGTAATCTCACGCGATAAAACTCGTCCAGAGCACAAATATGGCAATATCGGCCGTTACCTTTGCTTTTTCCTTTAACAGTTACCCTTTTACCTAAGATCCACTATCATGGATGGCGCTTGTAACCTGTTCGCGACCTGATTTTTTACAAGGATGAATGCTGATCACCATCTTACCTCCTGAATGCCTTATACAACTTCTTGGTTATTGTTTGGCAGTATAAATTGCATTTTCAGGGTCTCAACATTTTGATTCCTTTCCTGGATAGGATAAAATTCGTTCAAAATCTCCGTGAAATAGCTATTGAAATCCCGCAACAAGGTGCTATCACTCTGGATAACGTTCAACTTCAATTAGATGGTGTGCTTTATTTGAGGGTTTTCAACCCATATCGAGTAAGTTTCCAGAACTTCTAGGCCTTCTGTGTTTTTGTGGTTCTGCATGTTTCATGCATTTTTCAATAATTTTTTTGCAATAGGCTTCGTATGGTGTTGACGACCCGGAGTTTGCTGTCACTCAATTGGCCCAGACAACTATGAGGTCTGAGGTGAGTGTTTAGTCACGACGGTACTGATAACTGAGGGCGCTGTTCGGTTTGGAGGGGGCATTTTGCACTTCCGCTGTTTACTTGTGTTACTTCATGTTAAACGACAGGCATAACATCATGAGACTTGTGAACTGCTGCGAAGCTGGCAAATGGTTCGAGAGAGCCGCTTTGGTCCTAGGAATTGACAGATATTCACAAGGTTGCCTGTATAGGCTTATCTGAGTACCGCACGGTGCCCCCACCAAACCGAACTGCGCCTAATTGTGTCGCCAATGAACTGGGCTATTTAGGTCGGAAAAATCAGTCTGGATACTGTATTCAAAGAACGAGAGCAGCTTAATGTGAACATAGTCGAAGCTATAAATAAAGCGGCTGAACCATGGGGGATTAAGTGCATGCGGTACGAAATCAGTAAGTTTCTTTTTGTTCATCGATCTTAGTTGTGCGAGTTGGGAGGAGCAGGGGCAACTAGACCACGCCCATTTCTGTTTGTCTGCACCCTCATATTGCTCAGTGGAAACTCTCGATGAGAGGGCGCAGATAAGAAAGAAAAAGGCTTGGCCTCGTCCTGCCGCCACTTCTCTCCAACTACACAAGCACTGCGCATTGTTGACTTCAATACCAAGTTTATTTGATTTTAGGAGATATGCACATGCCCGAAAAGATTCAGGAAGCTATGCAAATGCAGGTATATACAGTCCTACTGAGGGTAAAAAGGGGCGTTCCCAGGTACAGCGATTGCTGCTAGGGTCCAGATAGAAGAGCAGTAGAGATAGAAGAGAGGTCTAAGAGAAGAGAGTTGGCTGCGATCATGCAGCCGTTTCTGGGCGTACTTGGAAATGCCCCTTTTCGTTTTCAGATATGGACTGCAATCCATTTTGACGTTACGTGTAGGAGTGTTATTTTTTTCCTAATTTGAGTGGTTGTTGACTGAATTTTTATTATGTGTGAGTGGTAATTAAGGTAGAAGCTGAACGTAAAAAGCGCGCAGCAATTCTGGAATCTGAAGGACATCGAGAATCTGCTATAAATAAGGCAGAAGGAGAGAAGAGAGCGAAGATTCTAGAGTCTGAAGCCAGAGAAGCAGAACAGGTACCGTTCGAAGCAATCCTAGCCTTCTGGAAATATTCATATGTACGGCATAAAATCTGAAATGTTTTGTGGTTTTGGAGAGCTCTCACGTAGCCAATTTTTTGGGTACATTTTAACCTCATTATCCATTTTTCTGGGTACATTTAACCTTCAACTGTCGATGCATGTAACTTTTCTACCTGAGTGGGAGGCTCACATTGCGGAAGCGGGTGTTGTAGAGTGCTACACTTGCCCGGCCGCGACAGTGAGCACCTTATCGAATTCTAGGGCGTTCAGACTTCGTGCATAATGTGATTATCGTGCGCATTATAGCTTAATCGCAGCTCTGTAACGCTTCCTGCGGCCCAGAGTGCCGCAATGTCGTCGAGATCACTAGCAAGAAACGACTAATTAGTTACTGCCTGGCAGCGGGCTCGTGGCCCTAGTTGTTTACGAAGGACCCCGAGATTTGAGCGCTGTTTTTCAATTAACAGGATTAACAAAAGGATTCATATCTCACTGCACGCACGGGGATAGTATGTAATAAATCCTAAATCCTAATCTTTCATGTTTGATTGTTTTCTCAATATAGTAATCATTAACATACTCGAAAATACTGTATATCCGGTTCCTTCCGTTGGGCGGTCTATCCGATTTCTCATGTTTCGTTCAGATCAACGTCGCTCGCGGTCAAGCTGAGGCTCTTCGAATAAATGCTGAAGCAAAAGCACAGGCAATTGAAAGGATAGCTACGGCACTTAATCAGACAGCTGAGTTTCCTATTTCTTTTGCGGGATTAAAGTGTCAAAGAAGTCCTTTTGATACCTTACCTTCATCCCCATCACTCTGGGCATTTTAGTAAGCTGTGGAGCCTGTTCCCACTGCGGTAATTTTGGGAGTTGCTTAGTCGTCCATCCTCATTTTAGGATATCTGTAGCGCTAACTACGGTTTCCGATTCCGCCTTGCTTGTCATAGAAAGCGCCTACATACTTCGCGATGCAATCGCTTAGACCGCGCGACCGGATCGTTCGAGCGTTTGAATCGAGCGATTGGAGCGCACGACCCAGGCCACTTTATCGTGATCTATGAAGCGCTTTTAAGGGAGCAATATACGGTAACCGTCCACGCGGAAACTTCCAGCACTTGCGCCTTGCTCCCTGCCCGATCCGCTGTCATGGTGAGAAAAGAATATTGAATCCTCTCTCAGAGAATAGTCACCCTGTTATGTGTCTCTTTCCATTTACCATTCCCGACGACTGTCAGTGAGTAGGAGCTGCTGTTTGTAGTTCATCAGTAAGTTAGGCGACCACCGAGACTCGCGTGATACAAGAATAATGCTTGACCAGAGTTGGACATGAGTTAGCTCAGTTTGGTCTTGTTATTCGTTAGGATATCCTTAACATGGAGCGGCATAGCATACCTTTCGAGGAAACCTGCTGTAGTTCTCGAAAGCATAAGTGTCGTGTAGTAGAGTAGCGAAACATATTGAAATTGTTCGTTCTTCCTCTCAGTAGCAACACTCCACTCTTATAGTTTGGGCGGAGTCCTCGGCAAAAAGCGTGCGCCCTCGAATGGGCTTTCAAGATCAAATACGCGGGACGCCGCCGCCGCCTCCCCTCAGGGAAGCGCAGTGGTAAAGTGACTCCTCGCTATTGGACCTGCCGGCGAGAAGGTGTCCTCAGGAGAGACTGGTGGAAGAGATTCCGTGAATTGACCGCTTCGTTCGTGCTGCGGCATGAGCTGTGACGATCTTCTTGTTTGCCTCTACCCTTTCGATTGGAGCATCATTCATACGGATAAGACAAGCGTGAACACTTTTTTGTCTATTTTTGGTCATACAGTTGGTCTTATCTTCTACGAATTGACTTTGTTAAATAGTGTCATGTAGCTGGCGCGACTGTCGGCACGCGGCGTCCACTGGCGCGGCGGATTACGATTTCTCTTGCCACATACAGATTATCAGGGGCTAACCTTTCTGGCCGATTCTCTGATCGATCAATATCGCTTGCTGTCTAGTGGTGGTGAACGGGTGCTTGCGACCTTTCGGTGGCCAGCAATACGTTGAAGCATTCCAGCAACTTGCAAAGAAGTCCAACACGGTGATATTACCAGCAAATTTAAGCGAGCCAAGTTCGATGGTAGCGCAAGCACTCACTTGTGTCGAGGTTAGGGCAAGAAACAGACTAAACAAAATAAGTGATAAATAGAGAGTAGATGATGTTTACTGTACTGGTACTTTTGTTGACGGGGTTGCCCTTACCCGTAAGTGATCTTATGTCGATAGATGGAGAGTTGTATCTTTGTTAACTTGTTATTCCTTTTGTAATGTATATTTTTATGAGCTTCTAGCATGTGTAGGTGGATTTCAGATTTATGGCATAGTCAAGGCTTGAAGTTTACAAGACTGGCATAAGGCTGAGACGTATTTACAGTGCAGAAGTAGTATTAACATTCCGTATATGAAATGTTCATTATGAAGTCTGAGAGATTCGTAAACTACAGTGTTCGAATTCGCATAGTTAATGCGTATCGTCCCGTCAGATCGGGCTCTTCGATGATCTGTAACAGAGCATGTGAGAGCCAGAATTAATCGACAAGACGTGCAGGGTAGGGGATAGTGATTCCGCCCATTAGCAGGCGCGTTCATGCACCGTTTTGGGCCAATGTGACCGTTATGGTGCCTAACCATGGTGCAAAATGTCGACCAACACGCCCTCTGCAACCACCCGCCCACAAATGGCCACACAATCACAGCGACGCTGGCACTTTATGGCTTCATTTATGAAGTTCCACTGATATGAAGCGGCTGCCTTGTTGCATGGCTATAAGGGTACTTGGCACGATGCCAATACGAAGGGAAGTGCCGAGGTAGGCGGTGATCTCAGCGTTTATATTATGGAAGCAAGAAGATGAAACTCACTCTCTCAATGATAAATTCTGACTCTTCGTCCGACAAGTTCGTCCCTTGTCAAGCTGCGAACCATTTTACTCAAGTCATCGTGGCCAAGGAAGTCATCGTCATAGGAATCTCAAAGAATGAAATATTAGGTTGTCCGGAAAGTTCTCAGCGTTTTGTGCACCTATTTTTTGTACATTCACTGCTGATTAAAAACTCATTCTGCCTTGCTTCTCAGTAGCACATCCTGTAGAGAATTTCTTGCGCTATCTGATGGTATAATTGCCGTTTCACCATTGCTTGATAAACCCCCTTTTTTCAAGATTTTTTCAAGCATGTGAAAAGAGCACTTCGGACGATTTTTTCTTCGACTATAAATTGGGGCAATCCGCAATCGAAACAGCTCAACAAATTAACCAGGTGTGGGGGCCCAATAGTGCTAAAGAAAGCACTGTGCGGCAATGGCTCAATAAATTTCGCTCTGGAGATTTCAGCCTTGAAGGTGAGCCTCATAGCGGGTCGATAACCATTAAATAAAAAATGCAAGCAATATCTGACGAGGATTTTAGGGGGATTTTGAGGTACCCATCCCAAACAGTTCGAGAGATAGCAGAAGAGCTAGGCCTTGGCAAATCCACTGTTGCAGATGGTCTGGAACGCATTGGGAAGGTGAAAAAACTCGACAATTGGGTGCCCCACAATCGGAGTGACCGGCAGGAATCGGCACGTCTCGAGGTTCCTTCTTCACTGCTTTTGCGCAAAAGAATTGACCCGTTTTTGAACGGATTTGTCACCTGTGATGAAAAATGGATCATGTATGATAACAGGAGACGTTCCGGACAGTGGTTGGATTTGGAGGAACCACCGAGGTAATTTTCAAAGCCGAACCCTCGCGAAAAAAAAATTCTGGTCAGGTTTGGTGGTCATCGGCTGTTGTAATCCACTATAACTTTTCATCACCAGGCCAAACCATCACAGCAGAACCCTACTGTGAACAAACCGACCAAATGTACCGAAAATATTGTCAGCTGCAGCCAACACTTATCAAAAGAAAGGGTCCGATTCTTTTGCATGACAACGCCCGCCCACACGTTTCACAAATCACTATCCATAAATTGAACGAATTGGGAGTTGAAGTTCTACCTCACCCACCATATTCTCTAGACCTTTCACCAACCGACTGTCACCTTTTCAGACATTTTCAGAACTTCCTTGCTGAAAAATACTCATCAATTAAGACCAGGCACAAAAGACCTTCGCAGATTTCGTGGATTCTCGACCACCCAGTTTTCCTTTGATGGGATTTCTCGACTGCTGCCACATTGGCAAAAGTGTGCTGATTCGAATGGTGCTTATTTGGATTAAATCCGATGAGTGTTAAGAAAGTTATGATCGTTTAAAGTTAAACACCCAACGCTAAGACTTCCGAAACTGAATAGCTAGCTGCAGGCCGTTCAAATAGAACAAGATAAAACTGGAAAAGTATACTAATTGTGAAATTGTGCTTACTATAGCATTCGACGAGGCGGTGGGGCCTTTGTGTCGTGGGGCGCGGAATTTATTGAAGGCTCTCGCTGTTGAATCAACTATCTTGGGTGGCTCCCATTTCGCGAATTCTTGGGGCTTACTGGAAGCGATATTGACCATTTACAAGGACTTGCGTGGGCTACCAAATGTTCAAATAGGTGGTTCGTATCCTCCCAGAACACGCGGGCCGGTAGCAATTACCATGCCCAGGGCTAAACCCACTCCGCCAGGGAAGGAGCTCTGGGGTTTCTATCGAATGTTTAGGCCTTATTTCTTAACTTTGCACTGCAGAGCCCTCAAAGAACGGCATTTACAAGGGACCATCCCAGAGAAAGAATATGTTCATTTTGAAGTGATAACTGGTTTTCATTAAATCCCGTACCTTCTCTGTTGATCGCATTGGCACCGGCTGTTAGTAAACTCACCCATACAATACCAGAAAGACATATTTCAGTTTTAGCTGAAGTGGTGCAGCCTCAGAGAACACCGAGAACATATCGAGAAAGTCGTCAAATGTAAGGTTGCCACGGCCATCCTCTGAGAAAACTTCGCAAATACGTCGTCGAAAAGGATTCTCCTAAAATATACGTAGCACCTAGTACAGAAGCTTTGGTTGGCCTAAGTGCAAAACTCATAAGAACCAACGTATGTACAAATAGGACAAATTAAGTAGAATCTATCTTCAAACGTGAACTCGCCGTAGGTAAAGGTGGGAAAGAGGAGTCAGGATCGTGGTGATGATCACAACGGGGCGGGGGGGGGGTCGTGCTCGCCCGTCACCGAGAAAAATTTTTTTTGATTAGGTTGATTTCTCGTGTCTTCACGCCATGCTGGTTAAGGGGGGCGAGGGAATTCGTATTTGGTTTTTGCTGGGAGAAGGACTGCTAAAGATCTATACCACTATTATTTCCGATAGTTGAATATGATAGTTAAATCCTGACAATCTCTCCCCACACCTCGCTCGGCAGCCAAATTTTGGGAAAAAACCAGAAATTTTTCGTGAAAATATGGAAAAAGAGGAAGTTGGGAAAATCTAGGAAAGTGGTTGGTAGCATGGGGAGGAGAGGATTGCATTTGATGATGGAATTAGGGGAAAGTTGTATGGCACTCGTAAAACTGGAAAAAATAGGAACCGCTCTCAAGGTGATTTACGATCCTTTTCCTTGACAAAATACGTCCCTTAGTGGACTTCTCTCAATGTCGAACGGAAAATTCTTCTCAAGGCAAATGATGCCCCCTTTTCTAGTGACAAAATACAACTCCTAGTGGAATTCTCGCAATGCTGAACCCTTTTATGGTAGCAAACTTGTGACTGAAAATTCACATACTCGTAATTCGGGCATTTTTTCGATTTCCTCATATGAGAGGGTGACGATTGATGGACGGCTGCCTTGCATGTTTGTCGGTACCTTATGCGGACTTAGATTATAGAACCGTTTGTACAGTCGAATTATGTCCTTTTTCGTGAAGAAGGTGCAGTCCTAAACAATCAGCATTCAGGAAAAAATGTTCAGAATTTGGAAATTGATGGATAGCGCAAAAGCACCTGATATTCATCCAGTTGTTCCCGAGTGAAGACTGCACCTTTGGAGAAAAGATTCATATCGGTCAGGGAACTCCCTTGGTTCCCCATCCTAGAAAAAGTTGAATATTCACTCGTAATGAAAACAAATTGAATCAGAACGAGTTCCCCCTCCCTCCCCCACATGGAGGAATAGATGTATCAGGAGAGCATTACTTTCTAAGTGCCTCATCATTTGAAAGAAAAAAAACGGAAGAAACAAAAAAGAAAATTATTAGAAGAAAAACCGAAAAAAAACATTCGATACGAAGGTGCGTCCAATACCCCAGAAAACATGGTAATAATATAACAGTGAAATTATAACTGGGTGATATTAACGCAATTATTGTGATGCAAAAGTATAATAATTTGTGGTAATATATAATAATATGTATGTAGTAATTCTAATAAAATAATGAGCTAACAGCATAGCAGTAACATTCACAGTAGAATTAGTAGTAGTATAGTACCAGTTTGAAAAGAGCAGGATGTGCGCAAAGATAGTGAGGATTTTCTCCACTGAAAACCAAAAGCCTGGTTGATATGAAGATTCAGTTGGAATCTATCAGGTCTCCGTGAGGTACGTCTGCAGGGATTCCAGAGTCTTATTTAGGTCCCAATGAGCCCAGAGTTTCACAACCTTATTCAATCCCCGTGTGGTTAAAATATATTTATCCATAAAATAATGCAGCAAAATCATAGTGGCTACTGGAAACTGGAACGGCCAACACTAATAGTGGCCAGAGTTGAGGTTGGTAGTAAATTTGAGGCAAATCGATACGCTAGCAGCTGGAGGGTTTAAAGCCGGAGCGGCACGTCACGAAGTCTTCCGGTTCATTTCCTCTTCCATCACTCCTGCCAATCACCTAAATATCCGGGATTCTGAAGAACGGGAAATTCTGAAAAATTCAATTTTCTTGGAAAGTTTTTCGAACTGATTCTGGATCAACTGCGAGAGCTTGGGCTTAATTACTAGGGAGGAGTAATTTAACAAATGTATCCACGTTTTGAGAATCAAAGAAAATGTTGACATGAAATCAATAAGAAGCTAGAGGAAATTGAAGTCTGAACTTATTGGGTTGGCACATAAGTACTTTCGTTTTTTTTTTCAACCGGAAATTTCGTTCCAAAGATGAAATGTTTTGCTAGCAAGCTTGATATCATCTGATAGGAAACTTCACGTAGTTTTAGAATATCAAAACGGCTTTGGTTGAGGGAATAATTTTTGTGGATTTTTTAGTCGTTGAAGTTGAAAGCGAAGTCGGCGAAAATTAGCACCTTCGACAACTGCCTCTATTTACGTATAGTCGAAGTGCTAAAATCGCTTAAGCTGCTCCATACATTTGGAAAAGGTCGAGCTAGAAGTTCCAGCAAGGGAATCTCACTAGGACGCTTTGGAACGAATTTCAAGAATTTTGAAGTTACCAACCTTCACCTCGCCGATATTGGGCAGCTACGTCTGTTCCACCTGAAATTTTATGCTAATATTTGAATGCTTGCTCGCTTACGATATGTTTTGCAGTTCTGAATAGCAAAATTTCGTGCTCTACAATACTGCAAGAAAAATCTGTTCTCCAGAGCTGTTTTGCTTTCTGTTAAGTTCAGGTTATCATTACGGAACGCGAAGTCGTTGAGAACTAGCGTTCCCGTTCTCCACGAATTTTATGCTAACATTTGAATGTTTCGCTAATGTGTTCTATATGTTCTGATAGCCAATTTCGTGCTCTATAACATAACATAAAAATCAGTTCTCCAGAGCTGTTTACTTTCTGTTAAGTTCAGGTTATCTTTACGGAACGTGAGGTCGATGAGAATTAGAGTTTCCCGACTTCGCTCTTCGTCAAACCGCTGTCCACTGAAGCTTCAAAGCTCCTAGAGCAGCTCAATAGAATCGCCATGGTTTGAGTAAGGCTTAGAGTAACAGATTAGTGTTAGGACAGCTCTTAGCGAATTTCCCGAGCAGCATCAGCAGCTCTGATACCTCTGTTGAATGCGAAAAGGAGGAGATGTCTGAAGTGCTGATGCTTATCGACGCCTGACATTCCATAATAATCCACCTGAAAAACAACCGGTTATCAGCCAGCGATTTTCAGAAATAAGGCTGCAGATGGAGTGTTATAGAGCAAGCAAATTGGCTTCAGAAATAATAGGACACATTAGCGAAACATTCAAATGTTAGCATAAAATTCGTGGAGAACGGGAACCTAGTTCTCAACGACTTCGCGTTCCGTAATGATAACCTGAACTTAACAGAAAGCAAACACCTCTGGAGAACAGATTTCTATAGCAGTGTTATAGAGCACGAAATTTGCTATCAGAACATGCAAAACATATCAGCGAAACATTCAAATATTAGCATAAAATTTCAGGTGGAACAGACGTGAGCTGCCCAATATCGGCGAGGTGAAGGTTGGTAACTTCAAAATTCTTGAAATTCGTTCCAAAGCGTCCTAGTGAGATTCTGCTGCTGGACCTTCTAGCTCGACCTTTTCCAAATGTATGGAGCAGCTTAAGCGATTTTTAGCACTTCGACTATACGTAAATAGAGGCAGTTGTCGAAGGTGCTAATTTTCGCCGACTTCGCTTTCAACTTCAACGACTAAAAATCCACAAAAATTATTCCCTCAACCGAAACCGTTTTGATATTCTAAAACTACGTGAAGTTTCCTCTATCAGATGAATAACAAGCCTGCTAGCCAAAACCGTTTCCATCTTTGAACGAAAATTTCACGGTGAAAAAAAACGAAAGTACTTATCATATGTGGCCCTAACCCAAACATAATTCTGCACGCTTTCTTGGATGCGCCGTGGCTCCAGCCTTCTATCCGTAATCGTGGACGAATTTGAATGTCGACGAAGTTGAATATCCGAAGGGCCCGAAGCACACCAGGCCAGATTTCGCATTTGGCCTACTTGAAGTGCTGAATGCATCTGAACATCTGCTTCTAGAAATCGCCTTTTATCAGAAATAATTAATAAATTTGCCGGCCCTGATTCAGTGAGTGGTATTCTTCCGTAGTCATCGTGCACAACACTCATTAGCTTCAAATCGCTCACATTTCGAGGCGCTGAATAGCCTTTTCAGAGCCGTCGTTTATGACCGCGAATTACAACCCATACCAGGCTTGCCTAGCGAGTTTTGTCGTAAATTTTCCCTCGGCGAAAATCGTAATGCTAACAGAGATAGTCTTATGTCTCTGTGAACATATGGAGAAGGTTTGATGGCATCAGCAAACTTGCGATTTACAACGATCAGATTGAAATCTGCTCTGGCTTGCGCTACGACTGCACCATACTTCTGCGGACTCACCTAGACCGATAAGCTCTTGTACCCTCTCCAAGCGAATTACTACCACTAGTGGGCGAACACCTGTCGGCCTTTGTAAGCCATTGTGTTTGGTCAGATATGCACTGGGCTCAGGGCACATTATTCGTTGTGAAGACCGCTACGAATGGGGCTATGTTTAACTGCTAGAGAGGGGTCGTATTTGCCTCCCCCTCTCCATCAGACAAATTAGTTGCGATTGTTAATTTTTCAGATTCTACGCGCTATGAAGCACCATGGATGGTTTTGGAAGACTAAACATACTGCCCCGAAAAGCGTAAATCACTGTTAAGCGAAAGCAGTCAGC